ACGCCCACTTTACCAGTATCCAGCAATGATCTCCTTAGTCCCTGGCCAGCCTTCCCATCATCCTCTTCTGCCTGATGGCTGCTGGCCAGTCTGCATGCTCAGCCCCGGGGCTCCTTGTGGTGGCCGCGCTTTCCGAGTCTAGCTCTCTGTCGCGTTCTCTCCTGGAGCCAACTGGCTAGTACCGTTCCAATGGGCTCGTTCGCAGCTGGGCAGCGGGGCCAGGCCTGAGTCCAGGAAAGCAGGAAGGGCCCCATGTCTGGATCTTAAAGCTCCAGCGCAGGCCACTGTTGATTTCAATGGCTCCACTTTGAATACCAAAGAGCAAACTCCTGCTTAGCCAACCTGAGCAGTGCACCCCCATAGTCTCTCCCGCGCACGCCACACCCTGCTCCTCCCACCAGCAGTAGCCCTGAGCAGAAGCACAGGCCTGTTGGACCAGTAGCATGCTAGGCTTCATGCTGCAAGGGCTGCTAGCTTTACACAGAATGGATGCAATCCAAACGGAGAGGCACCCAGCACCTCGACAGCGACACTGCTCCTAGGGTCATGGACCTGCTTCAAGCGAGCTCTGACGTTGCAGCCGCCTCTGACTTGGGCAGCTCTGTAGTAAACCTGCTTTTTTATTTACTCAGACAATGGTTTTTGTTTCCTTGGCAGTGCGTCCCTGTCAGCCCCAGGGCAGGGAGTCTGTGCCTGCCCCTCCCGGCTGGCAGCGTTCGCCTGGCTGTGCTGTAACCCTCTTCTCGCTGCCTCAGCCATTCCCGTGTTCCTCCTTTTTCTGAGTCGAGTCATCCTGGCATTTCCAGGAGCATGCCCGGCATTCTGGAGGGGAGGAAGTGTGACCCCAATGACTGGTCCTGCCTCTTTAGTATGCAGAACTCCCATTGCCCATCACACACACTTCCTTGGCTAATTCTTACCAGACGCAGCAAGTCCCTGGGGGGCATGGAGGGGGGAGATCTGTGCTGGAACAGGACCATCAGTGGGATCTGACCCAAAGCTATAAGAGGAGTTAATGGTGGGGTGGGGTGTTCTTGCCCCCTGCAGAGAGATCCCCAGCCAAATGTGGAGATTTCGGTGATTGTCACCTGATCTGTCTCACTTAGCAGAGTTTAGCAACCAGCTGCCTTCTCTTTGTGACTCAGTTTCCCCATCTGTAACACAGGGATGTGATATTCCCCTACCTTTCTAAAGTGCTGTGACCTCTGTAACCCAGTGCAAAGTATTGGTAGCATGTCCTGCCTGGGGGACAGGGAAGCACCTAGTCTCCCAAGCCAGTGGACCATGGTCTCCTTCTCTTCCCACTTCACTCCCCCCTCCTCGCCCTGCACACGGTAGGTCCTGCTCTCTAGGCCAGTCCAGGTGTGGTCTCCGGCCCTTCGTTCGAGGGTCCTGTGTCTTTTTACACCCTTTGCCTCTTCCCGGCCAGGAAGGAGGAGGAGGTTTATTATTTAGATTTCAGCAGTGCCCGTAATGTGCTGGGCAGGCCATGCCATTCCCCCACTTCCCAGGAGATGGAGGGCTTTGCAGGGGCCAGTTCTGAGTCGAATTCTAGATATCCTCTATGCCCCCTGGCCTCCGACTAAACACCAAAGATCAGAAAAAATCCCCCCTGAAACTGGAAGCCCAAACTGTGAAGTCCAGATGACATGATCCATTGTTTGGCAGGGATGCGCCTATCTTTGCATTTCCAACCCGCAGGAATCTCTCGAGTTTTCTTCCTAGTTTATCACCTAATTGCACTAACCCACCTCTGCGCTGAGTTGCTGGAGAGCGCTGCGTGTGCACAAAAGTCCTGTCCCGTCTTGTTCCGCTCGTGCATTCACCTGAATTGCCAAGGAAGGGGCCTCTTGTAGGCAGACAGCAAAGATGCCCCTTTCTTGTGATCAGAGAACATCCCTTTTCCAGGCCTAGATAAAGGCAGGCCCCTCCCTGGTTCTATCGAATACACTCCCCCATTCTATTTATAATGCTCCCTGGATTCATGACACTCAGAGAGAATCTTTGAAAATCCTTGGAACCCCTGAGCCCTTATTTAATTTCTTTGTCATTCATTTGGGCACCTGTCAAACTCTCAGCAAAAGTTAAAAAACTCACCAAGAAAACCAATTTCAAACAGGCGTAAACTCAGGAATAATCATCAGGTGCTCTCTTTCTATCCGCCCACACCAGTGGGCCCCCCAAAAAATATGACCGGGAGTTTTATGTGGTTGTTTTGTTGCTATTTTAATTCTAAGATATATGCAATTCTTCTCTCCCAATCTCTGGAAAAGACAGGGCACCTTCAAGAAAATACTTCCCCCGCCCAATCCTGTGTTTTTGTCAGGGTTAATAATATGTAACAGTATCTTTTAACTAAATTATTATGCAGTTGTCCTACTGATTGTATGTATTTTTTTAAATGAATCCTTTCCCCTTCCTTACACCTTTTTGTTAGCACTTTTTAATCCGCTTGTTTGTTTGCCTTTGTTTTTCTGTGTGTATTTATAATGAATTGAGATGTATATATGTAAAGAGATTTTTTTTTTAGACTATGTGCCTTTGACTAATTTCTAAATTTTCTACTTGCATCAGAAGGATAATTTTTGCATTCTGCTCAGTAAAGATGGAAAGGAAGCCACGCATGAGATCTGTGTAAGTCCCAGCTCTGTGTATGTGTGTGTGTACGTGCGTGTGTCTCTGTCTATCTAGATTTGTACTCGCCCAAGGCTCACCTCTCTGGGAGCTAGGTTAGGCAACTGGAGACCATGGTGATGGGCAAATGTATAAAAACCTCAGGGTGGGACTTGGTGTTGGATGTGATTTTTAAAAGCCCTCCCCAGGTTGATGCATGGGTTACTGACTCCAGATGACTCTCTTGATGGTAGCCAGCTCCAGGATCTAAGACCTCGTCTACACTGGGGACTACGCTATTTATCTCCACCGCTGATAGCAAGGGGGAGAGCCCTACTGTGGTCAGTTGACTAAATGATATGGGGCTTAAACCACCAGAGGCGATGGTAACCTACCTCCCCTTGGGCTCCTAGAACTGCTACCGCCTAGTGTGGACAAGTCTTACAACCAAACGAAGCCTTAGTGGCAGGAGGCCCTAGTGTCGCTCAGCGGACAATTAGAACTGCATTACCTTGAATCAGTACTGGGAGCGGAAGTGGGTTGACTCTGTTGGGAGGGGAGGGGGTGGGATTTTACTGTGCAAAAATTCCCGGAACCTGCTCCCAGCCTGTCCACGCTCATGGAAACAATTCCTGCACACGTGCGCACCCCCCGTGTCTGCAGCATCAGGTCTCTGATCATTAGTGACTTCTCCCCCCTGCCATGTGTCTGCATTGAGGGCTCCTGCACGTGTATTTTCCTCATGTTCCACCAAGTGCATCCCCCTTGGCTCCTCAGCTGTCACTTCTTGGGCAGAGACCCGTGTCTCTCTCCCATCTGACCGGGCTTTTCCAGGCTGTACAGTTCGCTGCCTACATTATGAATTCCCCAGCAAGTCTGACTGCCTAAAAGGCCAACGTCTCTGCTTTACCTTCTCCGCACAACTTTAAACAGCGTAATTTCCCACAGTTAGACCGTACCACCCACCTCTTCCAAGCACATTTATTCGCAAGGTGAAAACATATGAGAGAAAACACATTAACCCAATAAAAGAACTTAATTGCCTACAAACAAGCTCACCCCAACTCCACCCAGGCCTCTGGCAAGAGTCAGTCCTTCACACCCCACACCAGGGTTTCTGTGGTTACATATTCAGAACAAGAACCCCCATGAATTTGAGTCTTCCTCCTTTATCCAGTCTGGGCCTTTGCTTCACAGAGACCCTGCATAGATAATCAGCCAGACAGTAGTTCTCTCCCCAGGGCGTAGCTTCAAAAGCTGGAGTCTGGAAGTGAGAATTTGTATTCCCCTTCTGCCAGGTATTTCCTTTGGTGGTCCTGCAAGTTCTTTCTGGTCTGGCCCATTGTTTCAAATAGTCCTTCGAAGTTCATGCCACACCCCAGTGCTTACCCTGGCCATGTCTCCCTCTTAGAGAATTTACACACAATCCCCTGGCCATACATACATTTTGTTTTCAGAATACGATGGACTCCAAAGCTATTTAACCTTAATTCAATAAAATCTCCCAGAGATGTTTTAGGAAATTACCGTATCTGTCACACCGTGTTTCTATCTAGCACCTCCGGAAGGAACTGATAGCACAATCCTCTGAATAAGAGACTCTCCACCCTGGGCTGGGGAAATCATGCTGACCGCCACTCTGGTACATGGTGGCTGTCTGTATGGCTTCCAAAAGAACACCCTGCTTTGGAGGACTGGCTGGGTTTAGCTCCCCTCCCAAGTGCTCTGAATGCAGCTCCTGCTGTCTCACCTGCCAGGACTCTCCAAGCTGTTTGCCCTGGCTCTGCTGGGTCCTTGGGACTGTTACCATCACAGGACGCAGATTTAGCACCTCCCATTAAGGGGAATGTAGCTCTTGTAAACAAGATAGCAAAATTCCCTTGGGATGCAAATCTGCCACTAATCCCTCTAGAGCTCTGCTCAGAGCTCTGTCAACTCAGCCAGGCCCTGTACAATGGATTCCCTTCCCTGGGCAGAGCATAGGGCTGTCACAGCACCTGGACTCCAGCAAGGTCACAACTAATCCCTAATTGTTGCGGCATCAGTGATCCTCTTGTCCAGTGTATCAATCCTGCTTAATCTCTCCTGTCCTATCCCAGTGGGGAAGTGGCCTGGCAAAGGCTTGATGCTGAAAGGTGCTTCCTTTCTCACCCTAATGTTTGGGACTCAACTGCTGGTCTCTCAGCCTGGGAGCTTTTGCCCTATACAGCAGGGCCCACATTGGCAGCACAAGCGGCCCTGCCTCTCTTGGGGCTGAGGGGCCTATTGGAGTACATCCGGCAGCAGGCTTTGCTGGCCGTCCCCTATCCAGTCGTCAGCTTCTCTGCTGTGTCTGCCCACTCCACTGGTGTTGATTGTTGTGGGGTGTTCATCCACTGGGATCTGGGCTCATCCTCATCTCAGCAGTCAGACACGTAGAGGTCAGGTAAAGAAATCCCCGCAGACTCCAAACCTGCGGGAGTGGGGGAAGGAGTTCCTGACCACTGCGCCAATCGAAGTAGCAAGGGTCTGAGTTAGAGCTGGCTTCTGTTGTCTGCTGCCTTCGCAAGTCCCTAGGTGAAGATGGGCCCTCCTTGCTTAGTGCTGCTCTAAGTCTCCTCTACCAGCAATAGTTTGTGGGGGAGAGAGGTGCATGCGTTTCACTACATTTTATACAGTAGCCCCGTTGCGAAGCAAAGATGACAATTGTGGGCAGTTTGAAGTGAAGACCCAGCCTTGCTGATCCCCTGTTAGTTTGCAAACAGCTCCTTTGGTGGAAATGAAGAGCACAAAGGTGCTGCTGCTTCTCCAGGTAGGAAATGAGATGACCTGCCTCCCTCCCCTTTCTAAAGCCCTGAGCTGTAGGAAGGTGAAGCACTGTAAGGCCCAGTTGGTTTGCAATGGGCCATTGCAGACAAGTCCTCCAGCCACTTAACTGCTGAGACCAGGTCCCAGTTGCTTTAGATTTTTCTATGCACCTGCACTCCTTGTGGCTAGCCAGGGCTCCTACTCTGGGGCTGCAGATGCATTTAATTGCATCTATAAAACAGCTTATGCTCAGATATTTTTCATTGTTAGTTAATTGCTTCTGGCTTTAACTTGTGCTGTTGGGTAGTCAGGACCTTTTCACCTTCTCTTTACCAGTTACCTTCCTTGCTCTCCTCCTGCTCTGTCATCACAGATACTAAGCTACTCTTACCAAAAGGGAAAAGTTTATAGAACCGCCCAACACACCCCACTTCCTTAGCCAGGGGCCTGCACCCCTCCTGCCCCTTAAGAGGGGGTCATGGTGAATGATCAGCTGAATGTGAGCTCACTGTGGCCAAAAGAGCTAATGCAATCCTGAGATGCATAACTGGGGGAATCTCAGGTAGGAGTAGAGGTTATTTTACCTCTATTTAGCCCTGGTGTGACTGCTGCATCCAATTCTGGGGTCTACAGTTCAGGGATGTGGATAATTGGAGATTGATCAAAGAGCCGTGTAAATGATTAGAAGCCTGACTGCAGACACCAATGGAAGATGGGCCCTCTCTTTAGTTTAATGAAGAGAAGGTTCAGGGGTGACTTGTCTAAAAGTACCTACCCAGGGAACAAGTAGGTAACTAAGGGCTTGTCAGTTTAACAAAGAAAGGTATAATGTCATCCAAGGGCTGGCAGTTGATGCTAGACAAGTTCAGACTGGAAATAAGGTAATTTAACAGAGTAATTAACCATTGAAATGCTTTACAAGAGTCATGGATTCTCCATCACACAATTTTTAAATGTAAACTGGATGTTTCTCTAAAAGATTTGCTCCAGGAATTACTCAATGAAGTTCTCTGGGCTGTGTTACACATGAGGTCTGATCACAATGGTCCCTTCTAGCCTCAGAATCCATAAAACCCCCTGAAGACATTTTACAAGACAACTCTAGGCCACTTCAAGACTCACCCAGGTGGGGTGGTTTGTGCTGCTCTGTGTGCGTCATGCTAGTTTGTGAGTGCAGCAGGGCCCTCCCATTAACTGCCATGCCCTGGCTCCTAGAACACTTCCTACAACCAAGGGTGCAGGCTGGGGCACTGGTCAGACAGGATGGGTTCTTCAGTCCCCCCCCCGGTTTGTGTTTCACCAGGGAAAGGAGTGGAGGTAGGAGCCTTCAACCTCTCCCTCATGCCCATCCTTCCACCCAGGGGGCTGCCTCATTACTACAGCAATAGAAGTTGCTGCAGCTGGCTTGGCTGCCTAATTAATAGAGGTAGGTGGGGGAGGTTTCTTTAAGCATGTTTACCTTGTTCACCCCCTTTGTCTCTTGTGGGGAGAGCCCAACCCTCTGGCTACTTTACACTTAACCCTTTAGAGACTCTTACCCTCCCACAGCAGTGGGAGGGTAAGAAGTCTGTACACTGCAGAGCCAGTTCTGTTGAACAGAGATGGTTGATTTGAATGCAAATGTAGAAACTAGATCCACACCTGGTGTGAAATCATCAGTCCATTAACAATGCAGCTGTGCCCCACAGAGCAGCTGGCCTAGTGCTTACAACTAAATTCAGCCACACAAAACAAGTCACATGTGGCTGGTGGATGCTGCAGCCTCCCTTGCTCCCAGCCCAGCTAATCACCCCCTGCTGTAGCTGAACTACGGGAAGATGCTGCCTTAGTCTGCTTGGGGAAATCTAGAAAAAAATAGCTCCAGGGAAGGCCTTGGCACTTGCTGCTTAATTCCTATTGGTATTACCAAGGATTATCTCCTCAGACCCAGCTGTTGGCTCCAAGAGCAGGAGTTACATAAACTGTGTTTAGCACAGGCTTGGGCAGAATAAAATGTTTCCTTCCCCAGGATCCAGCTAACCTGTTTCAAACTCCCAGCAGCGGAGTCCATTGCTTTCTGCTCCCCACCACTGACAGTGGCCAGCATAAACCTTGCCAATACAACCAGACTTTTCCCCAGCAGCTGTTCCCTGCTCGGCACAGAAGAGAGCATCCTCCCCTACAGTGACTGTTGCTACTTGGAAGAGTCACTGGAGCTTCCTCTGCTGCACCATGTTACACACAGCTGCTTCCCACAGACTCAGACAAGACATTTGTCAGTTTCAGCATAAACTTTTATTGCAACAAAGCTGAGAGTGCCCAAGTCAGTTCTATGGAAACTGCCCAGCAACAGCCACCAGCCCAGTGAAGCCTTCTTCCTGCCGATGCACGCCAAGCTTTCGGGTCTGCCTCACCAGCAGGCTGGCTTTAAGGCAGGCCGTCATTGGGGCCGGATAGGAAGACTCCACAGGGAGCAGGTAAGAGCCATTGCTAAGCAGAGGGAATGGTCCAGTGTCGAAGTGAACAGGTCTACAGGAAAGCGGGCAGGTCCTTCTCAATCACCTGCAGAGAAGAGGGAGTCAAGTGCTGTTTCTCTTGAGGGCCTGTGGAGAGCCCCCCTGCTGTCCTGTCCATGAAGGATAACTAGCCCCTGCCTGCTGTATCCAGAGCTCTACACCACTGATTAGGAACACCTCCCTGTGCAACATCCCCACCAGCTGTGGGCACAGCTTAGCTACTTGCATCCCACCCTGCTCATTTTCATCCCTCTGCATCACACG